CAGTATCGATCAGTATATATTTGCTGACCTTCAAGTTTCAGTCTGTACAACAGAGATGATCCATCCCTCAGTTTAAAAACCTGGCTTGCTTTAAATCTTGGAGCCATCTGCAATGGTTTAATAAAATAAATTTTCAAAGCAGCCCGAGGCGACTTTACCAATTACAATTCATTGTGATAGTGATAGTGGCCAAGAGCTTGGCTGAGAAAAAAAACATATAACGTACCTCAGTGTCATAGACATTAAGCGCTGCTTCGTAATCTCCCTGAAAACAATAGAAAAAGAGACAAATCAAAATCCTTAATTTGTTTAGTAACGTGAAGGGCAAATTCAAAAGGAGTCAGAGGGACGATCGAAACAAAAAAAAAAAAAACAGAAGAATTGCTGTATCTCAAATAGAACAGTGCAGAACAACAAAATCTAATTTGACCTACGGAGGATGGCAAGTGAGCTAACAACTGATCGCAACGACAACACAAAAAACCTGCTTCTTCAAAGGTGAAATGGCAGTGGTGCCCTCCCCACAAATGGGAGATACTCAATAGTTCAAGCTCTGTTTAAGTCTACATTCCCTTTTTAGTTTCATGGAGTAAATCATCCTTGCGCTCTGTCCACACCTTGTCTATTACATCTACCCAAACGATTTTCCATTTGGCCCTCATAGTCACCGCATGAGTAAATTTTATTGATCCTTTGTGCCGTGCCCTTGGAGGTTAGAAAGAAACTTTTCAAACTTGTAACACATTTTACTCATCACACCACATCATTTTTTTTTTTAACTTTTAATACAAACATACCTTTTCAATATAATACAAAGCCCAATGCCAGAAATTGTGACAGGTTAAAGACTCACAAGGCTAGCCAGCAAAATAGAAACATACGCAATATTAAAATAGATCCCTGCAGTGGGCGAGATCATGTAATTTTTTTGTGATCTTGTGTTGGGGGTATCACGGAATCTAGCGATATTTAAGTCAAAAGAAACATGTTCCATACTCTTAGACAGCGTAGACGAGCGCAAAACTGGGCGAGCAAAACACCGTGCAGCCCATTTTTTCATGCGCTCGCTTTCTCACTCACCTCGGCTAACCACAAGCTAAAAAGAATCACAATAAAGGTAAAAAAAGAGGATGTATAGGCAAACCAGGGGCAGATTGACACAAATTTCAGATTATCAATTATAACCTGATGCCACATCGAGGCAAGAGAAAAGATGAGTTAAGGCATGAAAAGCATTTCTGATCAATGAAGATGATTCTGTTCGCCGTACAGTACAGAATAATAAATATAGGATAATCGGGAAAAAATTTAATCTTTAAATGGGAAGCTCCTAATTCTTCGAAGAGATCGCCAAGAGATAGAGACTGACAAGTCACACGTAAGCCACCTGGTTAGTCGCCAATATTCAAAATGGTAGTGTCCATATAAACTTTGTTAAGTAGGTGAAAAGGTAAAGAGTGCTTACAAGCCAAATGGCCAACAAGGGGCTGAAGCTCGTCCCAGTCCCCTTAGCATGAAGCAACTAAGAGCACTGCTAGTAACACTGGATGGGATGTTAGCCCATTGCAGGCTACCCCTCCCGGCAATAACGGAGATGGGATCTGTATGCTTTTAGAAGCATCAGGCCGGTGGGGGGGGGGGGGGGGGGGGGAAGAAGACGCATTAAACAACCATACATTACACACAAAAAAGTCAGTGAAATCTCTCGTGTCCAAAAATTTAAACCACCTATTGAACAAGAAGAAATCGTACCTTCCAGTTTTCCATGGTTTTTTTCATGAATTCAATCCCTTCATCCTGACGGCCTTCCATCTCCAAAACATGAGCCAAGGCATGTGTTGCCCACGTGTCTGTAGGAATTAGCTCCAATCCCTAACCATAAAGGTGAACAAGTACCAAAATGCGATCAATATTTTGAAACCTGCCTACATCACCCTGGTTCCCATAACTTCTCTTTTTTCGTTCCCAAGGATACACGTTACCTTAGCAGGCACAAACATGGGTCTTTCAATACTTGATCATGAGAGGATTGCGATTCATAACACTCATAATGATATGCGAAGTTGAAATAATTTAATAACGGGTATTTCAGGACTATTTGAGCATCTAGCAGTCTCACGTGTAATTAGGTAATTTTCGATGATAAATTCTGGTTTGGCGTGAAAATAATTCATTGTAGCTCAGTTTTCAGCAGAGCCACGAGGAGGTGAACGTCCCAACCTCCCACCAGAAAAAAACGCGTGGGTCGTATCTTGAACTCTTCCTAAGCCTGTCCCAGCTTGGCTTAGCCCGCTGATCAATCCTTTTTCCCATACCTTTTTACAACTGAGCATGAATAGGAATGTTGGTGAATAGAATACTATTGCAGAGCATTAAAAATTACTTTTAACACATGTTAATCTCTCATAAATGTACATGCCATTGCATTTCTGGATGTACGTAAAGTATATTCATGCCTGAAGATTTTGTTGTACTTACAGGGGAATGCGTGGCCACGAAAAGTAAGTATGGTACCTCAGAGAAGGATCTCAAGTTAGTAGCACTGACTCAACCTCACCATATCTAGACTTCTCTCATCTCCTTTCGAATTCCCCTTACTTTTCATTACGAGGGTATGAATAACAATCTTCAGGCATTATTTCCACTACTACATAGGTAGGGTTTATTACTGCGAGGATCGCTGTCGTACACTTCATGAAACCGCTGTACAGATATATGATTTCCATATAGTAAAATTCATTGATTTATGACTTTTACGAACCAACATAGTAACCAGCTCTCAGTTGGCTCGTTAGCTCAGTTGGTAAAGGTCAAGGGTTCAAATCCCGTTAGCACCTGAATTTTTTTCAGGCCTTAATTCCACTACTACATAAGTAAGCGGTTTATTACTGCGACGATCACTGTCATACAAATCTTCAAAAGGTTCCAGCGTAAATAAATGTTGAGATGCAATGCGTACCATCTGTAGCTCTTAATCCACTAGTTGCATTTTGTGGATTGGAATTTAGTTCTTACAGAACATGAAAATGTAAAAACACTACTTTTAAGTGGGTGATGTAATTTGTGTAATAATAATTAGTACCTTGCGAGCTTGTTTCTCTGCTTCTCTGTAGAAATTCGTCTCCTCCAAACCAAAGGCATGCATACCAAAAAGATACCTATAATGGTAGATGAGCCTTGATTACGTTGGGTCAAGTCAAGTCAAGTCATCCTTATTTAGGCAGGGTTACCCCATCAGCCATAGGCTGGTAACAAAAGAGGCCCTACGTAAAATTAAGACTACATTATAAAAATTTTAAAATGACCTTAAAATTATGTGCAAGGAGTTAAAAGAAATTGGATAAAAAGGAAATTACATATCTATGAAGTACATGTTTAACATGGGTTTAATGTTTTAAAATGTTTAATATGGGTTTCATATGTGAATCACAGGAACGGAGGTTTTTATTCTAATATTTCAGTAAAAACCTGAACGAGTAACGATCAGATTCTTCCCTAGACTGAATTCGTCGTATTTATAATTATGGTGGGCTGCACTTACATGTAGGCCACATGCTGTGTTCTAAATGAACAAAGCCAACATTTAGATCGAAAATATGCACGGGCACTTGTCTGCGAACGCTTTTTCAAGAGCGAAGTTCAAGGAAAACTGCGCGCTTCAAAGGACCAACAAAATACAACTGGACAAATATTTGTGCATATTTTTGCGCCAAATGGCGTAAAAGATAGTATAGTACCGTATCTATCATCGCTTAAATATCTTTTGAAACGCGGCCTGTACAAAATTATTGCCGACAGCTTACTGTTTACTGCTGCGACGTTCACTTTTCGATATTCTCTGGCACGAATTAATGAGCAAACAACTGTGCCGTTTCTTTTGCAACGACAGCAAAACGCTCTCTCATCTTAAACTGATTTTTAGAAAAAAGACTGTTACCGTATTGAACGTAAGTTTTGATAATTGGGGAATATCACCTGACTCCCTAGTTTCTGATGAGGCATATTCGATTACGTGACGCGTTCGTACCAATCATCCACGTGTGAGAAAAAATATTTGATGGACTATAACTAATGATACGTGGGTTATAGGGTATTTCCGCACCATCACACGCAGAAATTACGTGGCGGTATTTCTTTGAAGCTACATTAAAAATTGAATTTAACTTCTTTTCATGATAATTTTGACACTTGACATAGTCAACTGACATAACAACCACAATTACTGTACCCATATAGTGGTATTTCTTGCTTCCAATGTGGAAAAACCCTTGCCACACAGTCTCTTAACAAATCCTTAGGTCCGACGAATATGCTGTGGTTGGAAAGCATCTTTAATGCCAGTATGTCTCTGGGGTAAGCAATCAGAATGTCATCCCACAAGGTTTGTGCTTCTATCATATTTCTACAACAGCAATGATACAGTGGCATGTGACTGCATATACTGTCACGTAGTTCAAAAGTTTCTCATTAGTTAACCATTTGATTCCCACGAGTGATTAACATGAAACTTCTCCTTATAATATTCGTACATTATCCAGCAAACAGCTAATGAGAATACTCAAACTTATCAGGTAAAAGTTGTTATCTTGATCTAACACCAAATTCTCGTAACTAATTGACAAGTAAATGTGTAGCAGCTAGAGGGGAGAATATATAAACAATCAGATCTTGGGTGTTAACCACACTATCGTGGGAGACTTGATGACCTAACGATTGATGTACTTAATTGTGGATAGAGAGGTAATCTGGTTATATCAACTGGGTTGAAATTGTAAATTGGCCACCGTAAAGAGTTAAAAAGCTGACGTTTCGAGCGAAAGCCCTTCGTCAGAACAAATGACAAATAACGTTTCGAGCGCTGGCCACTCGTCAGAGCAAATCACGAAGGGCTAACATGCAAAACGTCAGCTTTTTAACTTCTTTACGGTGGCCAATTTACATTTTCAACCTAGTTGATATAACCAAATGACTTTGTTACCCCCACTGACACAGCACCCACAGCACCCACAGCACCCACAGCACCCACAGCACCCACAGCACCCACAGCACCCACAGCACCCACAGCACCCACAGCACCCACAGCACCCACAGCACCCACAGCACCCACAGCACCCACAGCACCCACAGCACCCACAGCACCCACAGCACCCACAGCACCCACAGCACCCACAGCACCCACAGCACCCACAGCACCCACAGCACCCACAGCACCCACAGCACCCACAGCACCCACAG